CCAATTTTTTCTTTCATGAGATAGCCTGGTCCTTCTATGACAGCCTGCATGGATTCTCCCTCCCCCCGGATCCATTAACATCTGGCCTGTATAGACAAACGCTTCGCCCATCGTGGGAAAGCACTGAGCCCCTGGAAGAAACGTGAATGTGACCTGCTTTGCAGTGTACAGTTTAATGACTGGTGTCAGCAGCCTCAGCATGTGCTCGTCCTGCTCCGTCGCCTTCTTTGTTTCTTCCAGGCCAAGCAGTCTCCCAGTCTCCATCATCAGCAGGAATGCTCCGTGGGTTTGCACCTGCAGAAGGGGAAGGCAGTTGCTCTGAGCAGGACCAGCACCTTGAGGATCTCCTCCCGACACTGACAGCCAACTTCCTCCTCTCCCCCTGCTACTTTCTCCCTCTCACAAGTATCTGGGATCATATCCCTTACCAAACTACAAACATGGTTTACAGGTGACAATGGCTATTTCCCTAGTGTTGCGTGTGTGTGTGTTTGTGTGTGTCTTCGAGTCAGTGGTGACTCTTGGAGACTGCTTCGACAAATCCCTGCAGTTTTCTTGGTAAGGTTTTTTCGGAAGTGGTTTGCACTTGCCTCCTTCTTCCCAGGGCTGGCCCAAGGTCCCCCTACTTGGTTCATGCCTCAGGCTGGACTAGAATTCGCGGTCTCCCATTTTCTAGCCTGGTGCCTTCACCACTGTCCCAAACCAGCTCTCCTTCCTTAGGATGTCATGCCAAAATCACATGAACCAGGCATATGCAGAGAGAGAGCTAAGCAGGACTGGACTGGAAATCCAGTCAGTATCCCTACAAGCAAATTAGAATTACAAAATGTGTTGGTTCAGGTTAAGACTGTTGCTAACCTGGCATCCAATAACAGTCCAGCTTTCTTTTGAAGCGCTCTTATTACATGGTTTATGTAATGGTTCATTCTGTTCTTTATGTTCCCCAATTATAGGCTAATTCTTATCTATGCTGGCACTTGATTCCAAACAATGGTAGGAAAAAACGCTGGCATCTTTGCCAAGCACACTTAATCCTAAAGCTGGTTGTGCTCACCTCCATTCGTGCCAAAGTTTGAATATGCAAGGGGTGATCCTTAAGGGGTTTTCCAAAGGCCTCTCTCTTGGTAGCATAATCCCGTGCCATGTGGACAATTCTATGGATGGAAACAAAGTCAGGCCTCAGGGATTAATTGCTGCCTTTTCTCCTGTGTAAAATGTACTCCTGCTCTGTCCCATCATTTAATTTCATTCTTTAATTAATGCATAAAATCATTATGCTTGCTGCTGACTCATGGGAGTGAATGTACGATGTTATATGCTGGAGGGATACAACAATAATTCCATATATAAGGTAAATGTTAATGAACTTTCTACTGTCTTTATTAATTCCACCTCTAGGTAGCAAAAGTATTTCCATTTCTCTCTACACAGACTACAGAACAGCCCTTCCACTCAGAATGATGAAGG